AACTGACCAGCGGCTGACTACAGGAAGCCCGAGGCAGAGTTGCTCTGCCCCAGGCTTCCTGGAATCAGCCGCTGATCAGTTTCAGCAGCAGCTGACTTGGGGACGCCTGGGTTTCTTAAGTTGAATCTGTATGTAAGTCAGAACTGGCGTCCAGATTCAGCCGCAGTTGAAACTGATCAGTTTCAGCAGCGGCTGACGCCAACTGACCAGCGGCTGACTACAGGAAGCCCGAGGCAGAGTTGCTCTGCCCCAGGCTTCCTGGAATCAGCCGCTGATCAGTTTCAGCAGCAGCTGACTTGGGGACGCCTGGGTTTCTTAAGTTGAATCTGTATGTAAGTCAGAACTGGCGTCCAGATTCAGCCGCAGTTGAAACTGATCAGTTTCAGCAGCGGCTGACGCCAGTTCCGACTTACATACAAATTCAACTTAAGAACAAACCCTATCTTGTATGTAACCCGGGGACTGCCTGTATTGTGATTTTACAATGATACTTCTCTTTTTTTTTTTTAAATGTCTCCTATTATCATGCAAAAGGCCAACACTAGAAATAATGAAAATAACTAGTTGGTTTGTGCATTTCATAGCACAATGTGCAACTGCAAAACAGAGATTAATGTATTTTCTGTAATCCTTTCTTGTGTATTCTTAGGTGTTACTTGCAATAATAGTAGGCAGAAAATGTTCAGCTAAATATGATTAAGTTAATCCTATCCCTTTTAATATTCTCACAGCAGCCTTCACTCTGCCAACTTGCGTATACAGTGTGCTTTACAATACAGTAATCTCATTGCATGATCTCATAATGTGATGTTATTCAGTAAATATTACATCATTATACACAAAGGACTAAAACATTTTTGTAATTGAGAATGGAGAATATAGTATATAGTATTTTTTTTATTGTGTGGCATAGTTATATGTAGACCTTGTTGAAATACATTAGTGCAAAGGATCAAAGATAAATTTGCTCATGGCCATATGTAAAAACCTAAATAAATATCTATAGCTTGAATCTTTTGCCTTAAGTTAAATCTCCAGCCTTAACAATACTTTACAATAGGTTGGTTACATACATTACATATTACCGTTATAATAAACACATCTGTGAAAGCCAGTTAGATTTCCTTATTCTTGACACAAGGACATTTATAATTTTAGATACTACTTTTCTGTTTTAAAAATTACTTAAGTCCATATGAATGCTTAACCAGATTAAGGGTACATCTAGACTACAAGCCTCTTTCGAAAGAGATCGTCCAGACAGCCAGAAGACTTTTGAAAAAGCGATCTGCTTTTTTGAAAGAGAGCACCCAAGCAATCTGCATGCTCTCTTTCGAAAAAGCTCTGTTTGCATTCAAGAACGCCTTTTTTCAAAAGAGCTGTCTCGAAAAAAGGCGTTCTTCCTTGTAAAAGCAAGTTTACCACTGTCAAAAAACCCGCCACGTTCTTTCAATTTAATTTCGAAAGAACACGACAGCAGTCTAGATGCAGACGAAGTTTTTCGAAAAAAGGTCACTTTTTTAAAAAAAACTCTGTAGTCTAGACATAGCCTAAGGTGCTTTTAAAATAATACATTCTTACAATAACAAACTGACTGGTTTTAAACTTCTAACTAATCTAAGTATTCTTGTCTCATTGCCTATACATGAAAAAATAATAGTTATGAATTAAGGCAGTTCCAGGGAAATATTGCTACATGTATGTACCACCATGTCTTTCTGCCAAATTAAATAGTTTTAATTATTCTCCCCTCCTGGCTCCTGATAGTTTAGATTGTGGAAGTGGTATGGTTTCTCATCTTTGAGCTTGCTTCTTTTATTCTACTCCTGATCTTTCAAGTTATCTATAAAGGCTGGAATTTTATTTTTTCTTTTAAATTAAAAGGCAAAAATGTAACCATCAGGGTTTTATTTTTAAATTGTGAAAATTGTGTCTGATAATTTTCTTGTCTTTATTATCTAAAGTTTTTGTGTTTCTTTGTTACACCTGACTTCTTTATTTGCTTTTTTGTGTTGTGCTAGCATTGGTTTGAAAGCTGGATTGCTCTGAGGTTTGTGTCTTTCAAATGTGAAACAGGAATGAGTAACCCGTGAAGGGACATGTCTTGTCTTCCTACTTTATATGATCCACAGGGTACATATAAAAAGCTTAGAATTTAAAATTGCCATTTGAAATTTTCCATACGTATTTTAATATTTCACTACATGTTAGCACTTCTACTTTTCTTGAATGTTCTATGAAATTATACTTAATTCTTCAAGGTAGAAAACTTGTAAAATGTAAAAATTCCATTATTGAAGACATGATCTTCAGTTAACTCATTTCTGTGTAATATTAGTGGTAGCATTTTTTGTCATAAAGTTTTCTTTTGGGAAGTGGGTTTCAATTTAATTATCAGTTTCAATTCTAGATTTTATTCACTGCTTTTAGAGTTTAGAACTAAGCATTCTTCATGTTTGTTAACTATACTCTTTAATGTGTGTATGCAGTGCACATTGTGTTCAATGAGATTTATGCCTGTATATTTGTGGTTCTTTTGCAGTTCTGTGTCCAACATGAGAAGTGTTGCTTTACTTCAGATGTAACCATGCTCCTTCCTGTGACACGAAGCTTTCCAGAGAGAATTCATAATATTTTCTTTTCATTTGACGCTATATCCAAACCTATATGTATTTACTTTCCATGTCTGCTTGGATTTTTGGATCATACAGTAGGTCCTTTGGGTATGATGATAGAACTTATGCACTTTTCATTTGATAATGCAGTGTACTTGAGCATAGAACAAACTATTTTCCTCACAAGCTTTGGTTTGGCTTTTAAAATCTAGTTTGTAGCATGTAGTAATCCCTCCCATATATTTCATTGTTGGGGAAGGAAAACTTAACTTTAAATACTGTAAATAAAATAAGCCTATAATTTTAACTAACCTGCAGTTAAAAAAAACAACAAAATCTCTGTTCTTGCATCAGACATGCAAAAGGGATTATTGCCAAGTCTGCAAAGAAGAATTCCATAGAAGTTCTTCAGTAGACACTCCAAAACAGTGAGAGTATAAACTGTGAGAATATAAACTGGCATTGAACTCTTTAAAAAAAAGCAGTAGCTTAGAATAAAACAATAATCATACATTAAACAAATGTTCTGAAGCTTTTCAGGAGGAAGAAAGAGACTATTTGTTCCCTTTACCTGCTACCTAATTTATATAAACATCTACAAATTAGATCACTGACCACTCTTATTTTTGCTGTTGGTTCAATTTTTAATAATGGCCATTGAGACCTGATATGTTCCATCATTACTGCTATCATTTTAATACTCATATTAAATATTTGGTCCTAGGATAATGCTTTATAGGCTGCACTATGTACACTCAGTGCCCTTTAAGTCATTATGTAATGTTTGAGAAATGGTCAGCCTAGATTCCAAGTATATTATGTTGAAACTTTGGTTATCATGTATTTATAAGGCATCATATAAATCTGTCTCTTGTAACTCCCTGTCTATGGTGATGATGATACCTGTACTTCGATGTCATTGATGGGAACATATTTTATAAATCACATTAAATATCTGTCACAAATAACTTTGCCAGTCTTACAGTGTAAGTCCAATGGTGTGTAAAAGCCAATTGAAAGAAATAAAGTGACTGTTTTTAGTTTTGATTCCTTATTTCTTACATATTTATATTATAGAAGCTCCCAGAGCCAGCCACTGTACAGATTCATAAGAGGATGCAGTCATGAAGAGCTTATAATTAAACATTTTTTCTCAAGCATTTGCTTCTATTCCTTTATCTTAAAATCTCAGTAATGAAGAATCTGTTCTAGAATAAATTTCATGTTGAACCTCTGTAGTCCAGCACTCTCGGGACCTGACCAGTGGGGAACCAGAGAATTTGCCAGAAAATGGAAGTCAATATTGTCTAGCAGCATTACAAAATTTCCATTGCTTACTGGGCTCTTAGAAGACATTGAGGGGTAAATTAGAGCTAAATAACAGGACAGAACATTGAGAGCCAGGACTGGTGGCTGTAAACAAAACCTTACGGGACAACTAAAATCATGCTGGACCATGGATGTAGCCAGATCAGAGCGAGAGAGATTCAGTCTAGAGAGATTCAACCTATAATACTTTCTAGAGTCTGCTTATTAGTAGCAGATACTATATGAATTCTTCTACTTGATTAACAGAACATATTAATTATGAACATGACCCTCTTTCACTCAGTAATGCACTTTTCATCTAGGTACAGTGACAGTTTTATAATTGAGCTTCTGTGTTATGTGTCAGTTGTTCCTGTCTTAGGGTTTATTTTGTTTTTGTTTTTGTTGGGCGGGGAGGTTCCCCGAATTTACACAACTTAGAATTCTGGCCATTACACCACTTTGTCAGCAGTGGACAACCTGCTAGGGCAGGAGAGATGCTCTTTCTGCTTCTGATCTGCTTAAGTTGTTAAGTTTCTAAAGAGATTCTTGACTTTTTTTTTTATTCTTTTTCTTTAGCAGTTCGTCTATAAAGAAAAATATTGTTTCCTCTGCTAATATGTTGTGATTTCAGCATGAGATTCCTTGTGACTTTTTTTTTCTGAATGTGTGTTTTCAACTAAGAGAGAATCCTGTTTCATTATTTCAGTATAGAAACAGATCAGTGGCTTCCAACTGGTGAGAACAATTATTTATCTCCAAGCCAGATCTACTCAAAAGTGCTTCCTGGAGCTGCCTAGTCCTAAAATGAATGCCTGACAAGGCAGGGTATTGATGCTCTAGCCCAATCCAGTAAAGAGCATAAGACAGTGAATGCCATGGGACTACATATCTCTTTAAAGTTACACAGGCTTAACTGGATCAAGGCCAGAACAGTCAGCACATCACAGGATAAAGCCCATTAGTGGTTGGCATTCCCGTGTGCATGTAGTAAGACCAACTCCAGAACAATGCTGTTATTTTCAAGGAAGAAATTCTCAAAAACAGCAGAATTAAATGGTGGTCATACTGGAAATTGTAAGTTTTGGTAGAATGAGTTATTACATTGCAAGAGGGTGAACTGAACCCAAAGGTCCCCCCCCAACCATCCCTGGAAGGAGCAGTGTCAAGGTCCTCTAAGCAGGCTAGAGGAGCAGCATGGGAAGCATGGACCATATAAAAAGGGGTGGCAGAACAGAGCAGCAAAAGAGAGTTGGTAAGAGTTGTTGGCTTGAGGTCCTATTAGGAGCTGGAGGAGAAAGATTTCATGCCCAGCTGCCTGAAGGTGTTGCAGCATAACAAAAGCTAAGTGGGGGTCAGAGACCAGGGGGAGGAAGGGGTTCCTGGCTGACTGCTTGGACTGAACTAAGGGCAATTTACAAGCAGAGTCCAGGGGAGCACTGAGGGAGCTCCTGGCTGGCTACAGGAACTAGATGAGGACAGAGCCTTGGGGGCGGACATGTAGTGTCTCCATGGGGAAAACTCTGGGGATACAGCCCCATGTCAGGGCTGAGATTACTTAAAAATAGAACCTCAGGCGGGGCTAGAGAAATCACCAGAGAACCACCAAAAGAGGGTCACCAGAGGACAAAGAACATAGACATGCATAACCAGAGAGGTAGATATTGACCCCACCATACACACATGGCTCAGACTCAAGTTCCACAGTGCCTCATCAGTCTCAAAGACATGACATCTCATGTATTGGTGCCAGGTATATCTTTCAGTATGTTCCCCGTATGTCATTCACCATCAACATTCAAATGCAGGCAAAATTCCCCCCAAGCAAATATGTAGCTTTGTAAAGAGTACAATTATTATTATTTCCATATATTTAAATAATTTGGATTTGGGTTGGGGGCGCTTATGAAATTTTCCACTGTACCTATCAGTTTGCTTTTTGTAAATGATTTCAGAGTATCTTATTTCTAACATTTCTTTGGGACACTTAAGCTAAATTGTAGGCTTTCTAACTAATATCTTGATTTTTTTATGTATGTATTTATTTATTGTAGCAACTTGAAACTTTGGTGAAATTATTTGGGAACTGACATGACAGTTTATTATAGTACAGTAAACCTCCATTAGTCCGGCATCCAATGCTCCGGGACTCCTGATGGTCTGGCACCATCAGGAACCCGGAAGTGCTGGGGCAGCCGGACAGGCTTCCCCCATTCAGCTGCTGCTGAAACTGACCAGCAGCGTCAGTTTCACCAGCAGGCTGAATCCGGATGCCTGGGGCAGAGCAGCTGGGGTGCTGCGAGGTTGGTCTCGTAGTGCCACCCCTCGGCGCTGCGGGACCAATCCGGCCGCTCTCCAGCTGCTCTGCCCCAGGTGTCCCCAAGAGCAGCTGGGGTGCTGCCGGGTTGGTCCCGCAGCCCCGAGGGGCAGCGCTACGGGACCAACCGGGCAGTACCCCAGCTGCTCTATTGCAGGCATCCCCGATTCAGCTGCTGCTGAAACTGACCAGCAGCGTCAGTTTCACCAGCAGGCTGAATCCGGATGCCTGGGGCAGAGCAGCTGGGGTGCTGCGAGGTTGGTCTCGTAGTGCCACCCCTCGGCGCTGCGGGACCAATCCGGCCGCTCTCCAGCTGCTCTGCCCCAGGTGTCCCCAAGAGCAGCTGGGGTGCTGCCGGGTTGGTCCCGCAGCCCCGAGGGGCAGCGCTACGGGACCAACCGGGCAGTACCCCAGCTGCTCTGTCCCAGGCGTCCCCAAGAGCAGCTGGAGTGCTGCTGGGTTGGTGCCATAGCGCCGCCCCTCGGCGCTGCGGGACCAACCCGGCAGCACCCCAGCTGCTCTATTGCAGGCATCCCCGATTCAGCTGCTGCTGAAACTGACCAGCAGCGGCTGAATCAGGGACGCCTGGGGCAGAGCCGGACTATCGTAAGGGGAGGCTATGAGGGGTCTGGGGTGGCATCCCCTCCCACCCCACTCCAGACCCCTCATAGCCCCCGCTTCTGATAGTCCGGCATATCTGATAATCCGGCACCCTCTGGGTCCTAAAGGTGCCGGATTATCGGAAGTTTACTGTAGTGATTTTGAGGGATTGCAACGCCTGGTCTTGTTTTGCTGAGTATAATATGGGTAGCCAGCACTGGGATCTGGGTGCCTGATCCTTAATCACTTAAGTCAGTTGTTGCTGGATCAAGCCCTACGAGAGGGGAAGTGAAGAGAATTTTCATGTAGAGTGACAGGAGCAGAGGCATCTCCTGAGTGACCTTCTTTCTCCCTGGATGTAATGAGTAGAAATAACAAATGCTGCCAAGTTTTCCCTGTGTTACCCCCACTCCTGGGGTGAATGAGAGATAAAGAGGATAGGGGAGGGTTAGCTAAGAAGAGTGTGTCAGGGAGAAGATGGTAAAAGCAGGGTGCTGGGAAACATGAAAGAAGAGAAGTACTGGAAAAGATTTAGAAAAAGAATTGAAATAATGGTCTTAGAATTTAACATTGTAGAAAAAAAAATTGTCAAAAAAAAAGTACAAAGAATACACCAAAATACACTATGTAGCCTTAGCCTCCTAAAAATGTACTTAGTTGTGGAAAAGTTCCTAACAAAAATATTCTGCCCTACCAGATTGAATTGCAATTTTTAATTATTCTGCACATAAATATTCTGTGTAAACCTTGCCTATAAGAGCCTGACACTGAGCAACTGAAGCTGAAAGTGGTTAATATGCATCCAAACAGCAAATACATTGCAGATTTCAGGTTCTCTGTGCAGTTGGGTCTTGAAGCAGTGTTTGAATTTTTTTTTAAATCACATTACATGGGTTTCAATGAAAGTCTGTGTATATCTGGGGTAAAACTTAAGTTATCTAAAATTGGGTTGGAAAGTTCCAAGATATATATGGAATGCGACACGGAGTTACCAGATTTAGGTGTGCAAGTTTTTAAGCAGTAAGGAATGCATATTCATCTCTTGTGCTTTTCCAGAGAGACAGAATTCCCTTGCTCCTGGATATTTCAAGAGAATTGAAGGTGTGATATCTGAGTGTAGTGGCTGTCAATTTCAGTGTACTGGCAGGGATTTCTTAAACTCATTATAATAGGCACCTGCTAAGCATTGTTAATTTGGGGCATATCTGGGAGCAAGAAATCTTAAAAATTAAATGGCATTAAATCACCAAAAATCAGTGTTCACCAAAGATAGCTAATTACCCATTTGCTGGCTGGAATTGGAGGGCAAATTAGTTAAGATTCAATCTGCATAGAAAATGTGCTTGTGGTCCAGTCCAGATCAACCACCAAAATAACATCAACAATACTATCAGCTCTCTTCTACTGAAGGGCTGTTCATCTTACTTGATCCTCAGCTGTTTCTAGAAGTGGCCAAGAATATTTTATATGATCTATACTAGGTCAGGAAGTTGTGACCTTTTCTTTATGATGTTGCCATAGTACTTCATGCCTTTGTCACCTCGAGATTGGATTATCTCTACATCCTCTATTAATGTTCCTAGAAATTAACAGCTAGTGCAGAGAGTGGCAGCTTGTGTGCTTGGCAACAGTGCACCTCACACCTGTGTTGATCATCAATCTACACTAGCTACCGATTAATTTCCAGATGAATTTAAGATGTTGGTTTTAATTTATAAAGACCTACATGATATAGGTCATGGGTACCTGAGGGGACTGCCTCTCCAACTATAATTCCAACTGTGAAGCAGTTTAATAACCCCCTAGTTCTGTTGG